TGGCCAATCACAGCACACCTTGCTTTTCAGAATGATGAGCTTTGTAAAAATCGATGCGTTTCAGAAAGGCAGGGGGATAGAGGAGAAACAATAATGTACATTATGTGGAAAATAATGTTTTTAACCTAAAACCGCATAAACACATTGCATTACACCAAATACACAAAATAATGTTCTTTTTAGCAACATCATATGACCTCTTTACTTAAGTAATACACAATACCGTTCAACATTTTTTAATATTTTGAAAAATCTGCATAAATCTGCAAAATCTGCACACCAAAGCTGCATTTATTTGAGCAAATAAATAAATAAATTGTATAATTATATAATTAATTTAGAAAAAAAGAATGGAAATTTAATAAAGTATTATTATTGTAAAGTTCAAATAAAATTTTCTATTTTAATATATTTTAAAATGTATTTTATTCCTGTGATGGCAAAGCTCAACACCCGTTAATGCAGTAGCACATGATCCTTAAGAAATCATTCTAATATGCTGATTTGGTGCTCAAGAAACATTTCTTCTTATTATCAATGTTGAAAACAGTTCATCAGTGCTGCTTAATAAAACAGGGATACATTTTTTCAGGATCAGAAGAACAGCATTTATTTGAAACATAACTTTTGTAAAATTATAAATGTCTTTACTTTCACTTTAGAGCAATATAATGTCCTTGCTAAATTGAAGTATTAATTTCTCTTTCTTTCTTTCTTTAAAAAACAAACAAAAAAACTTCAAAACCTTTGAACGGTAGTGTAACACCTTGAATTTAAAAAATGTTTTTATTTTCCTTTCAATTCTTAATTAAGTTACCATATCTCAAATATTTACATAATAATATGAATATTATATTCTGTTAAATATTTGAAACATCTTTAATTGACCCCATCAGAAATGTCACACTTAATTTGTCAACATAATATTTTTGCTTTGTTTAGTGGATATATGTATAATATTTCACCTCTAAACAAAAAAGTGTATCTACATTGTAATGGAATAATCTTTTCTCTCTCTCTGTCCAGTGTCACAGTATACATGGGTCTGATGACTGTATGACTCATCAGCCTCAAACCAATAGGGACACATATCCATTCACATCGCAACAAAAACAAAACAGAGATCTTGCATTGATAACAGAGCAACACAAAGATGTCTCTAGCAAAATCTTGGAAAGAGTTGCAAATTCCTCCACATCCCACAACTCTTTGTTTTATTGTTGTGCTGTGCATCACCTCGTTGGCATGCCGACAAAGGGAATCCTCCAGTCACTGCCAGTAAAAGAACACCTCCGCAGTCACAGTACACTGTCAGTAAAATACAGGACACAAGGAACCATTAGCTATTGGGCTTATTATAATCAACATGTGGGTGTTTGGGACAGCTTTTCTAAAAGTCCATGACTCTTTCATGTAACATTTTAGTATACTGTTGAAAAAACTTCATGCAAGTGTTATTTAAAAGTGAGATCTGAATCAGAAGAGAAATATACACAGATCAAGCATAGGTGAAAACAGTCTAAAACAGTTCTAAATAAATACATAGGGTTATAATGGATTATGGATTCACTGCAAAGGATCCATTTGTGAGAAAGTGATTTAATGCAAAATTTCTCCAGATCTGTTAAGATGAAGGAATAAACTTATCTACATCATGGAAGACCTGAATGTAAGTCAATTTTCAGGTAATTTTTATTTTTGGGAGAACTGTTACTTTAATGTTATTGTATTATGAACACTAGTTTTTCAGCTTTGGCCCATCTATTACTAGTCTAGCCAAAAATGAAAATTATATCCTCATTTACTCATCCTCATGTCATTCAAAACCTGTATGCATTTCTTATTTTCCTTTGGATCACAAAAAATATATATATTTCAAAGAACATTGGTAACCAAATAGTTTTGGATCCCATTGACATTGATTTTTGTCCATACAATTAAAATTAATTACTAGAGGCGTGCCTCAGGGCTCAGCTTTGGGCCCTCTTCTGTTTATTATTTATCTATTGCCTTTAGGACAAATTATCCATAAATTTTGTATAAATTTTAACTGTTGTGCTGATGATACCCAGCTCTATATGTCTTCAAGCCTAATTCAACGTTATCACCTTCCTCTCTTTTGTTTTGTTTACCTGTAATTAAATCATGGTTTGCATTTAATAATGAGAATACTGACATTGTTTTTAATAGGCACTAAATTAAAACTGCAAAATTTGTAAAGTTTTACACTGACTAGCAATAATTCTGTTATCTCACTTTATTTTTTGATGCACCAACTTCAAATGGTCCAGAATTCAGGAGCTCAGATTATTACACGAACACCACTGATTGAGCGTATTTCTCCAGTTTTAAGGCAACTCCATCGGTTTCCAGGAAGATATTGGATTCGGTTTAAGATTTTCATGTATAAGGCTCTTTATAATCTAGCACCTTCACATTTGTGTGAACGTCTTCATGTGTATTCACCTACCCGATCTCTCAGGTCTTCTGCTTCAGTGACTAGTTGTACCATCTGTACGTTTGACTACCATGGGATGTAGAGCTTTCAGTTGTAGGGCTCAGAGTCTTTGGAATACCTAAATTTGTAAAGTTTTACACTGACTAGCAATAATTCTGTTATCTCACTTTATTTTTTGATGCACCTGTAAATAATATTACTCGGTCAGCATATGATCATTTATGAAATATTAATCGTCTTTGACCATAGCTTTCTGCTAAAAGTACTGCTGTCTTTGTACATGCATTAGTTACATCTCATATTGACTATTGTAATTCTCTTCTCAGTGGTGTTTCACAGAAACTTCTTTACAAACTTCAAATGGTCCAGAATTCAGGAGCTCAGATTATTACACGAACACCACTGATTGAGCGTATTTCTCCAGTTTTAAGGCAACTCCATCGGTTTCCAGGAAGATATTGGATTCGGTTTAAGATTTTCATGTATAAGGCTCTTTATAATCTAGCACCTTCACATTTGTGTGAACGTCTTCATGTGTATTCACCTACCCGATCTCTCAGGTCTTCTGCTTCAGTGACTAGTTGTTCCATCTGTACGTTTGACTACCATGGGATGTAGAGCTTTCAGTTGTAGGGCTCAGAGTCTTTGGAATACCTATACCTCAATTTTGTAAAAAATTACTTTTTTTTAGATTAGCTTATTCTGATTGATATACTTTTCAGTGCATTATTGTGCACTGCTTTTTCCCCTTTCTTTTAATTTATTGTTTATGTATCTTATTATTTGTAAGGTGTCCTTGAGTGTCTTGAAAGGTGCCCATAAATAAAATGAATAATTATTTATTATTAATAGGAACTGAAACCGTTTGGTTACCAATATAATATCTTCTTTTATGTTTCATCAAAGAAAGTAAGTTATACAGGTTTGGAATGACACGAAGGTGAGTAAATTACAAAATTTTTGGCTGGACTATCCCTTTAAGGTGCTTTACCAGGACCTCTGCTTAATATGCATTCAGTGTAATTATATCGGATTCACAGGGCTATTCAGACACCATCTGAAATGAGGATTAGACAGACCTGGGATGCTAGTTTAATTGCATTTTGCTAGGTGCTGATCACACTGGAATGGGCCGCACTCATCTCACACTGTGAAAGAGTCTACAGCTACAAGGATTATTAGGCAGGCGCATGACGAGATGCCCTGCTACTGAAAGACCCTTCTGGCCCATACACCTATTAATCAGCTATATTCCAGCGTAATACGTTCTTCAGGCCTATAGTGGTGGCTTTAGAGTCAATTAGTTGACATCTTCCATCAAAATGAATGGCTGGGGGAAGGAAACACTGTATGTGCATGCATACATGAGAAGGAGACATGACAAGCTTCAACTGGCACAAACGTTATGTGAGAAATATGAAGTCATTGAGCATAAGGAGAGTCACTCACAAAATAACGGCACGTCCAAACAATGCAGAAGGCAACCAGATACATTTAATTACAGAATTGTGTTTCTCAGGCTTGCAGATTGATTTACTATACTTTTTTTCATACGATAATGAATTTCTTTCAATCAGGATCAGGCTGAAATTACATCTTGTTGGGACAAACAATAAATTAGTTTAACTGCTTCTGCTCTCATGTGCAAAAGCCGACAGTTCCCCTCTTACTCCATCATTGTTTTCAAACCCGACAATCTCTATGACAATCTTTATGGTCTTCTTTTAGCTTTAAAAAACAACGGAATTAAATTCTGAGTAGTCTCATTGTACAAAATACATTTCTTTTTAGATCATTAAGCTTAAAGCATCCAAGTTAAAAGCAGTTTCATTCTGCTGAAAGTATGAACATAAATAAACTAATTATAAAAATACACAAGAATGTTAAACCACAAAAAATACATAGTCAAGTAAAAGATTGCGCACTTTTAGTGTGTGTCGGACTGTGCGTTTCGACATGCAAAGTTCATTAAGTGTCTTTTTAAAGTTGGAGTTCACCCAAAGATGAAAATTGTGTTATCATTATGTCGTTCCAAACCTGTATGACTGTCTTTTTTCTGTGGAACATAAAATATATTTTGAAAAAAATATTTGGTAACACTTTACTTAAAGCCTTCATGTAAAATGCATTATAAAGGATTATTAAAGGGTATAATGCATTATAATTATTGATAATGTGTGTTGTAATACATTATATCTTGTGGTAAATAATTATAACCGAATTTAAAACGCATAGTCTAGCAATGAATAGATAAGTGTTATAATGTATCAACTGTGGTTACAATTATTCATGAGATTGTACAATGCATTATAAGGTGCATTACAAAGCACAATTAATGCTACTGAACTACTTTTATAATGCATTATACATAATGGCTTTTAGTAAAGTCTTACCAAATATTTCAGTGTTTTTTTTTTTTTCAGTTTTCAACACGATGGAAGTCAACTGTAACTAAAACTGTTGGGTTACACATATTATTTAATATATCTTCTTTCATGTTCTGCAGAAGAAATAAGCCAAGATGTTGGTTTGGAACAACATGAGTGTTAGTAAATGATGACAGAATTTTCATTTTTGAATGAACTATCCCTTTAAGAAGCAAGGCACATTGAGTACATTCCCTGCTATGCTCTACATCAAGTTTACAGTTATAATATTCCCTTATTATTTCATGACAAATGGATAATCAATTACTTTTAGAGGCAAGGCTTTATAGCAAACACACCGAAGTGGAGTTTCAATTGTTCATGAATTTGAACAAGGGCTCAAAATGTTCAACATTCAGACAAGAGCTCTTACATTTCATTATAATTTGTAAAACCCTCCTGTTGAACCAGAGCCAATGCGAAGTCTAAAAACACTGAAAACAACAAAATAACTAATCTGTTTACAGTAATACAATTGTATACTTTCAACATAATCACATTAATTAAAAACAAGACGGGATTTATCAAAAGTATGAAGGAAATTATAGATTTTGAATAAATACTTTTTTCAGAAAATTAAATTATTTGAAATTATTAAAATAATACAACAACAAAAACACAACACATTTCATCACTGTAATTCAGAACAGTAACAATTAAGCAGTATGCAGTGTAAAACTGCGTAATTCGCATATAGTGCATTTGTTTAGCTCAGAAGACACTGAGAGCCCTTGAATTTCACCTCACTGCCTTCAGTAGCAAATAATCTGCATTAATAAAATGGCACAACAGAAAGCACACTGGATAAAGCTGCTCACAGAAACATTAAAGAGACAACCTATTCATGCTTACCAGGTCACACAACATGGCACTGCATACATTAGATAAAAATATAGACTCTAGAATACGCTTTGAAATAATTTTAAAGAATATATTCTGCTCTAATAATAAGATTTTTTTCATTAAAATCAATTTAAATAAGCATGCTAAAACAAAAATTAAAAAGAAAAACGATTGTAGTCAATGGCAGCCAGCTGGTTGGGTGAGTTAATGACTTGAAAGGATGTGCTTGTGATCTGACCAGCGTGGGCACAGCGGTCAGCACCTTTTGGTGTTTATCCAACTTTGTGGTGGGAGCCGTTGTCTGGTGGATGTTTTGGTTAGTTGGGATTCAAACACCGCCTCCACTGCGGTCAACCGAGACCGGTCCTCTCAGATCCAACCCCTCTTCGACCGTCTTCATCAGGATAGCCAGACGACTGTCAGAGATTTGGCCTCTCTGGACTGCACTCATGAGCTGAACCAATCAAAACAGATGCACAATCACTACCTAGCTTAATACTTAGAACCACATTATTTTGCATGATTTAAGCTTCAGAGGCACAACTTAAGATACCAATGATAACTTTTATTTCCGATTTGAAATACACTACCATTTGAAAGTTTGGGATCAAATTTTATTTCTGTCAGGACCACTATCGTCAAAATGATAGATACTTAGCATAAAGTTTGGTTTGGCGGTATGGTTCTGTTCTGGGCAAAAAACCTCCCTGCCCATCCATGCAGCCTGTCATGAATGAGCAGGGAGAGCAGCAATAATAACCCCCCCAACACAAACGATAGGCACGGACCCCCCAACACAACGATAGGCCAGAACCGCCCAAACCACAACCAATGGCATTCTGAAAGAAGCATATCCTTCTGGAATAACAGAGACTGGGGCAGCAGCAACTTACAGGAGAAGGCAGCGAAGGGGTGCTCTTCTTAATAAGCAGCTAAGAAGAGCAGCAAGCCCCTTACCGGAGGAGAGTAGCAGCGAAGGGGTGCTCTTCTTTATAAGCAGCTAAGAAGAGCAGCAAGCCCCTTTAATGCAATACCTGAAAAAGATGCAGAAAACCCACTAGAATTGGCAGCCTAGTTTGCAGCAAACATAGCGTACTGCAGCCATAGAAGCGAGCAATGAACGGATCAGAGATCACATATTCTACCGTGCCTAAAAGCTTCAGCATCCATTTAAAAAGTCTATAACAACCGCATATAATAACTCAAATCAACTCATCAGTTTCTAGGTTGGCCGTCTCCCATTGTTACGTGTCCTCAATCTGACAACCCGCGTGATCATAGACAAATCCTTACCAATACACTAGATAGCTTTGCAACAAGCATGTTGCTTGCTTAAATCACAGCATGTTGCAGTAGTCAGGAACTTAAGGAAATAAGGCAGCAAGCATATTTCAAGAACAATCGGATGGCCTAAACCAGGAACCAGAGGAAAACGACTGTAGTTACCTGGAATTTTTTATTTTTATTTTATTTATTTATTTATGTTTTATATAAAGGCACTGCTTGTACTTGCTTAGAATAATTAGACTATATTAAAATCCCTTGTGTCCATTTGAGCGCTCAGTCGTAACCTTCCAATCACCACCGAAGTGTTTTATTATTTTTATTTTTTATAAATGAACACAGCTTGATCTCAGCCAAGCTATGATCAAGATCAAGATCATCAAGATCAGCCAAGATCAGCCAAGATCATGCTTAATCAACACATCACCCTAATTTCTCATGCTCATATGCTCACATTACTCAGTGTGAGCACATATTCAAGCGGATCAGAAATTATGAATCTCTAATAAGTGGCAGTCCAGCAGGGGAAGCATACACTGCGGAAATACTTCGAATGACGGTCATTAATATTACATTCTTATATGTATAGAAGCCATTAGGAGCGATAAACGCGTGCTTCTGACCGCACACTCACACAGCTAATGAAACATCAACCTTAGAAATAAACAACCGTAACATTGAGGTTATGCCGCTGAATACAGCGAGCCCCAGTTGAAACGCATACACGAGAATGCTTGTTTCATTTAAACTTGTTCTCATGGCCTTAACTATCGGCGTGTCCTCAGAGCGATTACATGCTCTAGACTACGTGTTACTCCAGCTGTATGAACACAGATGCGTAAATGCTACTGCAAATATGCTTTTTTCAATTAGCAGACCAGGTAATATACAGCGATATGGATTAAAACAGCATTCACTTATCTTAGCTGTGGATTTCAGATGTTCTGAAACACGCTGCAACAGTTTGATTTGAGAGCAGCGATGCTTAATTTGCTCCGAAGCAAGCTGAAAAGCTGCTGAATAATACTGAATACAGCTTATATAGAAATGCCGCGATAGGTGTCGTATTCCTATAGGTAGATGTGATCAGCTGAGAATCAGCTGATGCAAGCTTGACTCACGTGACCTGCCAGAACTAACGCTAAAGCTTAATTTAATGTTTTTGAATTTTCTTATGCACACTAAGGATGAATGGCTTTGTTCAAAAATATAGAAAACCTTTAATATTATAAAATATTATTTTGTACGTTTTTTATTTTAAAATATTTTAAAACGCAGTTTACTTCTGTGGCGGCAAAGCTGAATTTATATTAGCCATTACGCCAGTCTTTAGTGTCACATGATCCTTCAGAAATATGCCGATTTGATGCTCAAGAAACGTATTATTCGAAATGCTGAAAACAGTTATTAATTTCTAGTAATTCTTTGAATAGAAAGTTCAAAAGAACAGCCTTTATTTAAAATAATTTTTTTTTTTATATTATAAATATCTTTACTGTCACTTTTGATCAATTTAAAGTAGAGGTCTGCGCGGGACTGTTTTTTTAGCTCCCGCTATATATTCACTTTGTTCACCCGCTGTCCGCTTAGAATAATTTTCTTCCCGACCCGACCGTTCCCGCTAAATTTAGATCTCGTTTCCAGAATCTCACATTTAAATTTCCGCTACTGAAAGAAAGAGAGATAGGCTGACAAATAAAAGTGTAGTCTGCACAAAATTGTATGTTATTTTATTCGTCTTGTCAAGAGTCTTGAATTTATTGACTTTGACTTGAATTTATAGGAATTATCTTAAGACACAAAATTCGTTTAATATTTTATGCAACACAGTAGGAAAAAAAGTGTCAGAGAAAATAAAATTGTACAAAATATTTTTACTCGTCTTGTCAGGATACAATTCGTTTAACATTTACAACACAATAGGGAAAAAGTGTAGCAGAGAGAAAAAATAAAAATGTAGGTTGTACAAAAATAGCCTATTTTTATTCGTCTTTGTCAAAATACTAAATTCGTTTGACATTTTTCTGTTAACACAGTAGGAAAAGTGTCACAGAGAAAAATAAATAAATACAACATCTTTTATTTAAAATTATAGGCTAAGCAAAATATAAACAAAACCGAGTTGAACGTCCTTCAAGGACAGCGCATCCACACTTTGCTCCATCCTTATTCTGCTTTGTCACTCATCGACAACCTGCCTGTTCTGTCTGAGGGCCGTATATTTACCACAGGTACAGCCTGCTCTGAGCATCGTTATGCACATTCTGCGCACAGACCATGCAAATAAAACACGTGACGTTAAAGCATGTGTGCAGCACGTGCATAACAGTCCTGAGCGCAAGCTGTACCGGTGGTCAATAAGAATAAAGCGCAGATATGCTGTTCTAAATGAACGTCGGGAACGGGATATTGTTAGACCACCCGCTCCCGTTCAAATTACACCTGAGTTACCGACCGCTACCGTGTTTTATTTGGGAATTTAATCCTGCGGCGCAAAAAATCCGGTCGGGTCCCGCGGTGCAGACCTCTAATTTAAAGCTTCCTTGCTGAATAAAACTATTAATTTCTTAAAAAAAAAAAAAATAAATCTGGCCCCAAATTTTTGATTATGTTGATTATGTAACAAATTTTTTGTTAATGTTCATTAAATGTAAACTTGACCCACTACTTTGCTGTACTTAAGTAACTGGAACTAGTTGTACAAAGGGATTACCAATATGGCCACCAAGTGAACTGACCTGACCTAAACGGACTTTGGTTAAAGCCTGGTCTAGTAATTTAAAGGTTACTGGTTCAAACCCCAGAAAGGTTATTACTTTTAACACCTTTCTCTTGACCCATATATGGTAATCTAGTTCATGCTTCATTATAGTAAAAAGTACAGAAAAAGTGGTGCACATTATTAATTAACTGAAACTCTAGAGGCACCAGATCTACTTTATACTCCTTCTGATGTAGGTATGACATTTCAGAGGGACTAATCACTGTGAACCAGTCGGCTTATGACAAAACATAGATGTACTGACATGAAGATAACAAGCACTTTTCATTTTGAGGTTTTCACACCTACAACTACAAATCCTGCCTGAAAACCAGAGCGACACCAAGACAAGCTGTAGTCTATAAATAGCTGTTCATACCTGCAAGAACTCATCCAGTTCCACCTGCCCGTTTTTGTTGAGGTCCACCTCGTTGAGGATCTCATGAAGGGCGTTCTCATCAATCTGAATGCTGAGTTTCTGAAAGAACACAAATCAGTTATAGAATCAGTAACTAAGAGACATTAAACGAAAAAGTTAAGGACTGCACATAAACCAGAGACAATGAGAGCGGAGGGAATGACAGCTAATAAGCAATTCAAGAGGAAAATTATTATTATAATTTTTTTTATATTTTAAACCATTTTTAACGTTAAGATTGTTTGGCAAACATAAGACATTTAAAGGGATAGTTCACCCAAAACTGAAAATTCTGTCATAGTTTACTCACTCTCATGTCGTTCCAAAACTGTATGAGCTTTTTTCTGTTGAGCACAAAAGAAAATATTTTGAAGAATGTTGGTAACTAAACTACTGCCTTACATAGTATTTTTTTCCATACTATGGAAGTCAACCATCAACCGTTTGGTTACCAACATTCTTCAAAATATCTTCTTTTGGGTTCAGCAGAAGAAAGAAACTCATACAGGTTTGGAACAACATGAGGGTGAGTAATAAAGTGACGTGTGGTCAAATATGGTGTCCTGTACTCGAAATTTGTGCTCTGCATTTAACCCAAGTCCAAGTGCACACACACAGCAGTGAACACACACACTGAGCAGTGGGCAGCCAATGCTGCGGCGCCCGGTGAGCCTTGCTCAAGGGTCTCACCTCAGTCGTGATATTGAAGGTGGAGAGAGCGCTGGTTATTCACTCTCCCCACCTACAATTCCTGCCGGACCGGAGACTTGAACCCGCGACCTTCGGGTTACAAGTCTGACTCTCTATCCATTAGGCCACGACTGCCCCCGATTCTAAACAATGACAGAATTTTCATTTTTGGGTGAACTATCCCTTTAAGTACAGGTCATCTTGCAGTTTAATTGCATGCCTTGAGACAAATTCAAAAGTAATGAAAATGTATTAAAATTAAGTAACATAGATAAAAAGTCCCCTCATCTCTGCATATCAATGGCAACTTGGCCTACTCTGATGAACTTGTTAATTAACCAAACGCATAAGAGGTCATTTTCTGTATACTGTAAGTCTTATCTGTATATACAGTGGTGTGAAAAAGTGTTGGCCCTCTTCCTGTTTTTAAATTTTTTTGCATATTTGTCACACTTAAAAGATTCAGATCATCAAACTAATTTTAATCTTACACAAAGATAATGCAAGTAAATACAAAATGCAGTTTTTAAATGAGGATTTCTTTTATTAAGGGAAAAAAGCTGTCCAAACCTGCCTGGCCCTACGTGAAAAAGTAATTGCCCCCTAAATCTAATAATTGGTTGTGCCACGCTTTGCAGCAACAACTGCAATCAAGTGTTAACTGGCAATGAGTCTTTCACATCGCTGTGGAGGAATTTTGGCCCACTCGTCTTTGCAGAATTTAAACACTGATCAGAGAAAGGGTGTAAAAAAGCAACTTACAGTGGATTCAACATACACATTTTACATGTCATGTAAAGGCATTTTACATTTTGTTTTTAGTGCAAGAAATTTTAACATTATGGACTTCAGGGAAATTTTTTTTATATGTTTCAAAAAAAGATGAATGCAAATGGTCGCTAAAAAGTAATGGCTGCTTAGAACAAATAGTAACAGTATTTTTTTTTTCGATCTAAAATATTAAAGAAGCTCAGTTGGAATTGTAAGAGATTATAACTCACCTCTAGCACTTGCTGGACATCCACTGTTGTGATAAAGCCTTTACTCTCCTTATCAAACTTGTAAAAGCGCTTCTTATACCTGTCAATCATAATAATGATAATATTAGGAAAGTGAGAGATGTGGGATCTTGTACACTTAAACTCACACACTCATCTTATACCTTGCTATCTCTGGGGCAGTGAGTGAGATCTCTGTTGTCTTGCTGAGCTGCTCAGAGCGAGCTTTATAACCCATCTCCAGGTGCAGATACTTCTTTGCTGCCTCCAGCTCTTCCTGTAGACAAACAAAACCAAAAACACAATCAGTAACTTAAGGTTAGAAACAAGTTCTAACCTTAACAAGTGAATAAAATGTAATTTTAATCAATTATATATTTTCCTGATCATAACAGCGGCACATTTAAGCACATGTTTTGTAAACCTTTACAGTATAATGCATGGTTTTCAAATTGGCTGTTACTAAAGGGGGAAGTTAAAACTATACTGGACCCAACAGAAAGCTCACAGTTTGTGTCAGTGTTGTTTCTCATTTCTTGTCTGAATATATATATATATAAATTTGCATCAAATTTATGTTTCAATTTGTTTTTTTTTTGTCTGAATAAGGCATTTAGTCTTCAAGGCAAAATAAATAAATAAATAATTTATTAATCAATTCATTTTAGGGTCAGATAGAGTGTGAAATACGGTCATATAAAAGTAAATAACAGTTTTTTTGCTGAAAAAACAACCCCTTTTTATAAAAAATTAATTTTACATTTTAAATTAAAGCCTCATTATAACTGAATATTTTCAACAAATCTTGCATCGTAGTGCTGTTTTATTTTATGTCTGAAGAAGGCATTTACATAGAAGCCTTAAATGTAAAGCAAAAAAATATATAAATAAATTAATTGAGTAATTAGTCTGAATATATATATATATATATATATATATATATATATATATATATATATATATATATATATAATAGAGAGAGAGAGAGAGAGAGAGAGAGAGAGTTTTGTGAAAGTATGATACAAAAAACACACGCAAAAAACAAAAAAACAACCCCTTTTTATAAAAAATTAATTTTACATTTTAAATTAAAGCCTCATTATAACTGAATATTTTCAACAAATCTTGCATCGTAGTGCTGTTTTATTTTATGTCTGAAGAAGGCATTTACATAGAAGCCTTAAATGTAAAGCAAAAAAATATATAAATAAATTAATTGAGTAATTAGTCTGAATATATATATATATATATATATATATATATATATAATAGAGAGTTAGAGTCTATTATATTTTCATTCGGAAAAGATAGAGGGTTAAACAGGGGCAGCGTTTCCTTATGGCAGTCGCCATACCCTAGCCCAGTCAGGTGTGTGTAATGTGTAACTCTCTATTATATTTTCGTTATTATTGTTTTAAATCACTGCTATTGGTCTTCTGTATGTCTGTTTGAGGGTTTTTACAAATATTTAAACAATGAAAAGCATTCAAAACAACTTTGTAACACTATGGATCCTCAAACTGTCAGCAAAACCTTGTAACCGCACTCCCTTCAAAAACCTTGTAACTTCAAACGCCGCCACTGGGGTAAAATACAGTTGTATAAAAAGTAAATTATGTTTTTTTCGCAGAAAAAAAAAGTTTTTTAAGATATTGTGAAAAAATATATATATTTTTTTTTAAGTTGTAAATAAAACAAAGATTACTGGAGCATGTTTTATAAGAAAATACTGGTAGTAGCTTCCAGTAGATACTGATATTTATTTTCCACAATAGAATGAGAATGTTTGAAGCAGTAAAAGGATTCAGTGTTTCATGCAGCAGAAACACAGCAACATAAACATTCCTGCAATGCACAGGCTGAGAATACTGGCTTGCCTTTGCAGAGCTGTGATATACCTGCGCTGGATCGAGGTTTCCAGCAGAGCATTGTGTCTGTGTCCGTGCATGTGTTTGGTGGGTGTGGTGCACCTGCATTGTGAGCAGATCTGAGCGCTGAACTCATGGGAACTGAACAGTATCAAAGCTGCACAGTGATCGGTGCTATTATTAGTGCTTCTGTTTATCAGACAGGAAACCTACGACCAACGTGCAAAAGCTGTAGTAACTCTTATCACCCCCTTACAAAAGCACTACACGCACACTTTCAAGCACTCCTCTGAGCACAAACGTAACAGCCATAGTCATCTTGAGGAGTTGTGCTGGGCGTTTATTGTACAACTGAATTGTGATCTTATCGTGGAGTGGAGACTCCTTGTTAAAAAGACTATTTAAGAATCAAACTAACAATAGCTGAGGCCTATTATAAGCTGTTACCTAAATTAACCTGGCTGAGATCTTTAGCTTTCGGTCAGGACAAAAAGCAGGGTTCAGGGCAAGGGTAACAGGTTTGCACAACCAATAAATTCAATAAATCAAGTATTGAACTAAAATGTTCTCATGAATTTGAATTCACATGCAGACTAAATGTGAACAAAGCGAATTCTGCTTTCATTTTAATAAAAAAAAGAAGCACTGTCAATCTGTATTCTAAAGAAATAAGCCATGAGATCAATGACATACTTTCTTTTTTTGCTCAGTCCACTGCAGTTCGTTGCCCATGATCTCAACAATACGTGGCAAAGCCTCATCCGCAGCCTGCACGTTCAGAAAGCCCAGTCGAGTTCGGCGAGCAATCACATCGATGGCTGTACATGCGTACTCCTTTACAGCATACTGCACCTAAATCCAGACAGAAAACATCACTTTCATTTTCATTCAAGTCAGTTTTAACAGAAATTGTGTGGAAGACAATCAGACATTCATGTATTTTTAGGTTGACTGAATAACATGTAATATTTTCAAATATGAAGTTTAGATTTCAACCCAGCAGTGAATCTTGCTTATTTTTAATCCTGACAGTTAAAGTATTGGAACCATTGCTAAGCTCCACCTCTCAAGAAACTACAGGAAGAAAAACTTGAGATTTCAAGGAACAGCATGCGTTGAATGACTGCAATGAAGTGTGACATTCCAAAAGAGCAATGTAAAATGAGCAGTAAAAACTGTGGAGACTGCACATCAGAATCAAAATGGAGTCAACTGTACAGAACAGATGATATTGGTGTAAATGAGCAGAACTCTTCCTAAAAGTTTCTACAATGGGTTCACTACGTGTGTGTGAACTGTGTGCAGTGTGAACTCTTATTAGCACCCCTACAACATAATGAATAAAAAAAAAATGCAAATAAAATGACATAGAATGAACTTCTCAAACTTAATTAAAATATTTAGTAAATGAAAATATACTGTAAACCTCTGATTACCATGTGTCAGTATAAGTGACCTGACAACAACATTTTACCATATTTCTGGACAATTTGCACAAAATTGCATTGAAACTCTTCTAGCACCTCCATAGACGATCCTCCATTGATTTATTTGCATTGAAGTCATGTTGGATGGAAGATAATATTTAGGAGTTAATCGCATATTAATGCCACCACAATGTTGTCAAGTCAAGTCACCGTTATTTAATATAGCACTTTTTACAATGCAGATTGTGTCAAAGCATTACAGTATTAAAAAAGGGAAATAATGTGTCGAAATAGTGTGCCGTTCTCCTCTGGCCAGATGAGACCAGCAGTTTAATTCTAGGTTGCAACAAAGTCAGATTGTGCAGAGGACTCATGCTGTAATTACAAGTGGCAAAAAAAAAATAATTAAAAAAAGCTAAGTTGTATGTACAGGTATAAAATACGATAGTATTGTACAATTATGATAGAATATAAAAATTCCATTTACAACACCTTGATAAATTGAAATACCTGATGCTCATTCGATTTTTCATAATTTTGACGAACCAGTGTTAAAAAAACCCCTTCGCTATCTTCCTCCAACTAAAGTGATCTGAACACACATGTCGTAATTACGACTTTTCAACTCGTTAATACAAACTTCCCAGGATGACTTGAATGCACCATTACATTATTGAAGGGATAGTTCACCCAAAAATGAAAATTCTGTCAATAATTATTCACCCTCATGTTGTTCCAAAAGCTGTAAGACTTTCATTCATCTTCAGAACACAAATTAAGATATAACAAAAATACAGACGCAGGAGCCAGCATTCTGATGTAGAATCCTGATAAGCTGCGCCTTGTTTACAAGCAGTGGAATGCACACGCATGCATCATGGTACTCTCGTGAATGGTGGTGGAGACTGACATGGAAGAGAATAAATTGTTGATTAAAGTCGTTTTTTTTTTTCTTTGTGCACAAAATTCTCGTAACTTCAAAAAATTACGGTTGAAACACTGATGTCACATGGACTATTTTAATGATGTCCTTCCTTACTACCTTTCTGGGCCTTGAACGTGATAGTTGCATTGTTGTCTATGCAGGGTCAGAAAGCTCTCAGATTTCATCAAAAATATCTTATTTTGTGTTCGAAGATGAATGAAGGTCTTACGGGTTTGGAACAACATGAGGGTGAGTAATTAATGACAGAATTTTCATTTTTGGGGGAAAAGTTTAAGAAGCAAAAGCTTGTCAAAGAAAATGGCTGAGATCAACAGTTGCTAAGTAAGGACTGGTCAGTAACGTTTTAAAGGCGGGGTTCAACAAATGGTACACTGCAAGTTAACTGTCATTACTATAATTTCAGAGTGCTTACCTCACTCTCTATGTAGGGAAATTCAGACACAAGGCGTTTACCCACTATAGGCCATCTCTTGCCTGTCACCTGGGCCATTTTGGCCACTTCAAATGCTCTTCCTCCATAGGTGGCTGCCAGGTGCTGAGCAACCTGTGAGTTCAGAAAATAAACATGTTATTCCTTAGGGATGTAACCATTATTAACAAGACAGTGGTAGGTTTCATGATTCAACTTTCTTTCCTTATGTAGGAAACCCACTGCAAAGTTAGATTTTAAACATTCACTTAGGCTGTAGAGATGTTTTCTTTACTAGCTTATGAACACCTTTGCTTCATTAAGCGTTCAGACAAATGAACACGGCCCCATTTTCGATTCAAACTCTTCTTTTATATCTCTCACCAAAGGTCAAGTGCTGTCAAAAATATCTGCATGCTGACCTTTTTAAATATGCTGGCAAAACAACATCCATGGTAGCTACGGCTCCATCAAGCTCTCACGCTTCCAAACAAGGGGTTGCCAGACTTTCTGTCACCCACAGGATCACGGGGGACTGAACGTTATGGAGCAGCTGAACCTGCTCCAAAGAGCTCTGACTGGCAGAATGCTAAGTAGTTAGGCTTCGAAACCCACCTCGTTTTCCAAGCCGTAGTCTTGAACCAAGCGAATGTACAGGGTGGGGGTCCAGTCCTTCCCACCATCCAGCATCAGACCGACCGTCCTGCTGGGACCGGCTGAGAGGTTATGAGCCTTAATAGCTGCGTCAAGAGTCTCCTCAGCCATAGAACGATAGGTTGTCCACTTCCCACCTAGAGTAGACAGAGTGCTGTGAAATCTTTACACAACCTCAGTGGAACAATTATCAGTTACCCTAGTGACCAATTCCTCATTACAAAACCTCAACTCCTCATTACAAAAAGTTTGTGTATATTAAGATTTAATATTTTGCATTTTTACATTATAATAATAATAAATCATTTAATTTTTAATTGTATACTACTATTCAAAAGTTTGAAGTCAGTACTTTTTTAAAGAAATTAATACTCATAATCAGCATGGATGCATTAAATGACACAAAAATACTACTTTAAATAAATACTTTCTGTTTATCCTGAAAAATATATATTTTTTTAAATATTAAGCAACACAGCATTGATATTAAGAAGCAGGACTGGAAAAAAACTGGCAATATAAAATGTGATAAAAAAAAAATATATATATATATATTTATAATATAAATAAAATTATTAGTAGTAGTATTAGTATTAATATTAATATTATTATTGTTATTAAAATTATAATTATTATTATTACTAAAAAATATTTAACTAAATAAGAAATATTATAATTGTAATAATATGTTCACTATAAGATAAAGAATTTAAGAAAGAATTGCCAAATGTATTTTACAGTACATCACCCCCTCACACAACCCTCCCAGGTCAACAGAGTCGCTTGGTTGCTCATTCACGCCCGGAACAAAGCAGAAGACACCCAGACACACGGCAGCCGTCACATTGCGGTTTATGAGCACACGTAATGTTAATAACAGACAGCCGGATGACTTTCTACAGTAGCTGAAAGACACATGCAGTGCTGGATGAGATAACGAGACTCTACAAACTCTTAACGACTTGCCTAACAATCAGAGAAAGGAGGAAGCATTTTTTGTGAAGGAAAATTAGTTATGAAGCTAATCAATCAAGCAATCAAGCCTGCATCCACAACGCTTTGAACAATTAGAGAGCTGCGCTCAAAAATCAATACCTCCGCTTTCAAAGGAAGATGCTTGGAATAGTTATCAGTCCCAACTAGTAGTTACTAGACTCAACAAAACCAATACAAGCCGTTCTGTCTATATTGCTGTCTGTCTGTTCATTAACATGCATTCAGAAATAAAGTATTTTCATCTTTCATAATTAAGTTCATTATTGAAAAATGTCAGTCTAAAACATTTTGCCAGAAATCACCCCTTCATACACTACTGTTCACATGTTTAAGGTCAGTAAGATTTTTTTTTAAAGAATTAATACTTTTATTCAGCAAGAACACATGAAATTGATCAAAATTGACAGTAAAGATTTTTACATTGTTAAACAAAATTTCTATTCAAAACTCAGCTTTGTCATCATAATATTTTATATTGCAAAAATCTATTAAAATGCATTAAACAAATTAAACTGTTATTTTGTTATTACATTTATTTAAATGCAGCATTGGTGATCATAAGAGACTTTTTTTTTAAAAACATTAAAAAAAAAAATGTAAAAAAATCTTACAGACCCCAAACTTTTGAATGATAGGGCATATATAAATTTTGTCAGTTCATCTGAGTCGCACTTAAAATCTTTATCTAACCATCCTCATTTTGAGAAAATCTGGTATGACTTTTCCACATAAAAAAAAAATTATTTATCAAAATGTCAATGCTTTTCCATATAAAAAAAAGCAAAAAAAAGCAAAAACATTTGGTTACCATTAACTGTTTCTACACGTGTTCTTCAACAATTGTGAACAGAACAGTACAAAACAGCAAGAACCAGGAGTGTCGGACTTGGTAATGGAGGAACATAGTTACAGGGGGTAAGGGGGGTGGACCACAATGCATTTTCAACCAAGGGGGATCCCAGAATCCCTAGTGACGCCCCTGGCAAGAACTATACAGTGCAACCAGTGTAATTTTTCAAAAAAGGAACGAAAAAAAATTTACAGACTCCAAACTTTTGAACGGTACATTGTAACACAAGATTTCCATTTTAAATAAATGCTGTTTTTATTTATTTTATATTCATAAAAGAATCCTGCAAAAAGTATCACAGGTTCCAAAAAACATGAAGCAGCACAACTGTTTCCAGCACTGATAATATATCGGCATATTAGAATGATTTCTGAAGGATCATGTGACACTGAAGACTGGAGTAATGATGCTGAAAATTCAGCTTTGCATCACAGGAATAAATGATATTTTAAAGTATATTAAAATAGATACTGTTATTTTAAATTGCAATAATATTTCACAAAATAACAGGTTTTTTTCTGTATTTTTGGTCAAATAAATACAGCCTTGATGAGCACAAGAAACTTTAGTAAAAATATTTTTAAAAACTTACTGATCCCAAACTTTTGAACGGTAGTGTACAAAAAACATAAATGTTTTCATAAATAAGGCGTATTAAATATTTTTAAAATGAAGCTATGTATAAGTGCTTGCTTTGTTGCCTTTTTATCATACTAAACAAAAAATTACAGTATATTGAAACGCTTTCCCCATAGAACTAGAATCTCTAAAATATGTTTTTGTCAGAATTACCTAACCTCTTAACTTTAGCTAATTTTTGTAAAATAGCCTCAAAACTATACAGTAGCCACATACAACATTTAAATAGGGACATTCCATAGACTTCTATTTTTACATACAGTTATAAATACTATAATCTAGTACGCTTACAGAAATACAGAACCTTAGAGAAAACATTCCGCATTTTTACAACTTTTTTTTTTTTTTATATTTAATTTATTTTTATACAGTTTTTAAAAATTAGGACATCTCCAAAAGAAGGTTTTTGGGAGGTTTTGTCAGATTTAGCTCATTTCTGGATACAAATTAATTCCCAAAACATGGTTAAGTCAGTACACAATGTTTTTCTGTACATGCCAAATGCCACTGCACCCAGTTAAGACCCGCTTCATGATTGCAGTGTTTGAAGTGGCGCGACGGTGTTCAATATTGTTATAGGACCTTTTGAGGCATTTAAACAATTTCAGACACATTTGAAACATGAATTACAGGAAACCTTGAAGCCAATGCGATATCACTCTATTACGGCAACGAAAGAGCTACTAGATTTTTTAAAAAGCCTTTGTGTTTCAGGTCGGTGTTTCAGGTCGGTGTTCTCGATGCTAAAGAACCAGAGGGATAGGTAACCCACGTAAGCATGTCTAATGCGAACACATGCTCAGGGCAACTCCACCAGACAATAAAATAATAACACAGGCAGGAAGCCTGTTTAAAGGGCACACTTCTCAAAGAATAATGTGCGGTGAAGGCACCAGCATGCTTTGTTAGAGATCCCATGAACCTGGGCTTGCCTCAGCACTCATGGCTGCGCACTCAAATCAAAATACCCATGTAGAGAAGGATAATACAAACACATGCATGTTGGAATATTGTTAATATCATGTAAGAGGACAAATCACAGCTCACACGGAAAGCTGTGTCCAGCAGCAGTAGACACAAAACGCTTGGTTGAGCTTGAATGTTTATTAGAGTACAGCTTGCAGGTATGGCAAAAAGAGCAGGGCTTTTGTGCTGCAAGCGGAATTCTAATGAAATAAAGAAACCGCGACATTACAAATGACTGAAAACGCAGATAAGGGAGTTTTAGCGTCAGATTAGATTAATAAAAAAAAGACCTACAGAATGAATGAATGACATATCATAGCGGAGAAGGGAAGTGATGGACGGCCGTGCATGTGGATGAGATAGTGAAAGAAAGAAAGGGAGAGAGGACTCAAGGAGGATGAGGGACAGGAAGGGAAGAAGCAAAAGAGTGTGATGCGAGAAGGGGAAATAGAGAGAGAGAGAGGGAGGCAAATAGCGACAGTGCAGCAGTAGACACAAAACGCTTGGTTGAGTTTGAATGTTAGAGTACAGCTTGCAGGTATGGCAAAAAGAGCAGGGCTTTTGTGCTGCAAGCGGAATTCTAATGAAATAAAGAAACCGCGACATTACAAATGACTGAAAACGCAGATAAGGGAGTTTTAGCGTCAGATTAGATTAATAAAAAAAAGACCTACAGAATGAATGAATGACATATCATAGCGGAGAAGGGAAGTGATGGACGGCCGTGCATGTGGATGAGATAGTGAAAGAAAGAAAGGGAGAGAGGACTCAAGGAGGATGAGGGACAGGAAGGGAAGAAGCAAAAGAGTGTGATGCGAGAAGGGGAAATAGAGAGAGAGAGAGGGAGGCAAATAGCGACAGGCAGGCTGCGATCTCCAGCGGAGAAGGTCAGATTTGGAAATGTCACGGCCGTGATTGTTCCAGATTGAATAATTGGAGAGAAAAGCCGGCTGACAACCCAGGGGAAGGAGGGATGGTGGGGGGGGGAGGAACGGACGTGGGGAGAAGAAGGAATAAAACCTCTAAACTGTCATTACAATCGCCAGTTTCGATTCTCCACACACACACACACGCAAATGAAGACGCTTTTTAACACAGTCACTGGCAGCACGTAAACACGGCGCGGCAGGGAACAGAGCATCCAGACGTCTCTTTGCCTCTGTTTCTCCCACAGATGGACGCGATGTGACAGATCGCTGCTCAGATAGCCGCCGTGCTCCCCCTGAATATAAGCTGCCCGCGCACCCTGCGAGGGACAGTGTGTATCAACGCGGGCCAAATGTAGTTTGACAGGAAGCACCGGAAGGCAGGGTTGGTGGGTGGGGCTTGTGCTGCCACGGAGGGGACCTTGAGTAAAGGGGACACATTCTGCACACCCAGACTAACCAGGTACATATGGAAGTTTTGCCTGGTGGCAGCCTCGGGTGGCGCAGGGCACAGACGGGCCAACAGAGACACAGGCACATTGAGTTCGGCCGCAACAGCCGGTGGCGGTTTTACAAAGATTATGCAGGAATGTCACAGAGACAAATGAGATTGCACTTATTGCCACATAAAACCACAAATCACGATAGTAGATGTTTTATTGACAACAAATCATTGTTATCAATGACAAACAATTTTTTTTTTTTATAGCCTACTGTATAAAGAAAAAATATCTCTGTCCACAGGCTTGGCAAAG